CAATTACAAGCATTTTATACTGCACATAACATAAAACACTCAAGCATAGACTCACATGCCATGTATTCTCATGATTATACATTGGGCCATAAAACAAAAGTAAAAGATACAATACAATATGATAAATAATATAATAAAAGAAATTATATAGTAAAGGAATCATCATACAAAAAGAAACGATACAAGAAAAAGAATAGTACATGAAAAAGAGTAAGTATAGGAAAAGAAACGATATAAGTTTAATTATTATATTTTATAGTAAGATTTTAGAAACATAATGTAAATGGTTTATAGACAATAAGTTGTATTAGTTTGAATTGACATATGAATGATATGTATATCTACGTACTGATGATAATATAATAAAAGTTATTGTTAGCGAGTGGTCGTGTGGTGGTAGACAACAACCAAAAGAAATATGTTTTAAAATAAGGATGATTATAGTGTTATAAAAAGAAAGTACACAAATCGTGCTAGAATGAGAAATAATACAGTATAAGAAATGTAATAACGAAAGGTGAAAATATGATAAAATACTAAGTGGTTATGTATGAACTTAGTAAAATTTTATATTATAAAGATAAATCAGTTAAATTTTAAATTAGGCGATTTTAAATTATGATATGAAATAGTATTAAACTGCCTAGATATTGAGCGAGATCGAGTGTAAATTGGAAATTAAAATATTAATATGCGGTTAAATAATCTGATAATAAATGTTAAATTAGGAGATTTTAAAAGAAACACAAAATTTTCCCTCTTTCGAACAATAACTGTTAAACAGAAACATGTGACATCCTTAACTTGTATTCGGAAATAAATGCGGGTTATGGGTGTTACACCTTGCTCATTGGCCCTTAGATTAGGGGGATTGTATAGATCTGGACCATCGATTTATTTTATCTTAGTCTTTCATTGAGGGGAACCTCTACTATGAATAAATGTATCTCCTCCTTATTTGTACTCACTTCTTCATTTTAAGAAATCACGAAGCATTCTTTTAAAATTCTTTTGTCTATTTCTTTTGCTTGTCATTTTATTTTCAAAGTTTTTTGATTTTGTGGAATCTAAGCATCTTTGCTTGAGTTATTTTCAAGCTTACTTAGTTGTGGTTACTTAAAAAGAGACTAAAGCTGCACGGTCGAAGCTTTCAAAGTTCCAATGGCGTGACAAGTAGTATAAGAGCGAGTTTTGGACAAGATGACACCATAAAGCCAAGACGAGGTCTCGACTGTTGTTGAGGGGGTTGAGACCCGTGTAGTTATATCTTACATTAACTATAATCATATATATATATATATATATGCATGTGAGAAATATAATTTACTTATTACATTTATTTCAATAATATAATATAATATAATATAATATAATATAAATATAATATATATAATATAATATATATAATATAATATAATATAATATAATATAATATAATATATATAATATAATATAATATAATAAATATATATATATAATATAATATATATAAATAATAAATATAATATAATAATATAATATAATATATATAAATAATATAATATAATATAATAAATATAAATAATATATATAATATAATATAATATAATATAATATAATATAATATAATATATATAATATAATAATATAATATATATAATATATATAATATATATAATATAATATAATATAATATAATATATATAATATAATATAATATAATATATATATAATATATATAAATATATAATATAATATAATATAATATAATGAATATATGTAATGTAATGTAATATAATGTAATATATATATATAAATATAATATAATATAATATAATAATATAATATAATATAATATAATATATATAATATATATAATATAATATATATAATATAATATAATATAATTAATATAATATAATATAATATAATATAATATAATATAATATAATATATAATATAATATAATATAATATAATATAATATATATAATATAATATAATATAATATAATATAATATATAATATAATATAATATAATATAATATAATATAATATAATATATAATAATATAATATAATATAATATAATATAATATAATATAATATAATATATATTAATAAATAATATAATATAATATAATATAATATAAATAATAATATAATATAATATAATATAATATAATAATAATATAATATATATAATATAATATAATATAATATAATATAATATAATATAATATATGGTATGTGTGAAATAATATAAAACAAAATATATAAATGAGTTTACAATTTAATAACAAAAGGAGCATTTACTATATTGGTAAAGGCATGCCTTGGGACACCTATGGTACCTGGCTTAAATCCCCCAAGTAGTAGTTACTTCACAATTTGTTTTCCTTCACATAAGTAGTGACATGTGTCATCACTTGTGTAACGTCCCAAATCCCATTGTTAAGAGTTTTCGGTTGACTCGAGGTAGTTGGACGAGCCCAATTACCTTGTAAGAGAATGAGACTCATTTTAGATTTTGAATTGGGCTTGGTTTGGGGACCAATCAATGTCAATAAGAGGCAAATTTTAAATGAGGAGGAAAGTGGAAGGACCAAAAGAGCTATTAACCCTTATTTCAAATTGTGAAATAAAAATCCTTGTTTAGTGAAGGAAAACCACTTAGGCTTCCATCCCTATTAACTCACCAAACACTCTTCCTTCATCTTCTCTTTTTTTCTTATTCTTCCTCTCCAAGGTTTAGTTAAAGGTTGAAGCTTTATTTATTCAAGCCTAGTTTAAGAATTCTAAGGCAAGAAATGAAATCTCCATCTCAAGAGCTTCAATTTAAGCCCCGATTTTTAAGTTTTGGCCATGAAAAACAAAAATGGGTTTTAGGGAGGTTTGTGAATTCAAGAGTTTTCTAGCTTTCTTTTAGTGTATTTTCATCTTCTTGCCTTTGATCAGTGAAATAAGTGGGAGAGAGCTCCAAAGCTAAAGGGAAGGAGAAATTATCCCTTTGTTGATTTGAGGGCATTCTCAACAACTAAGAAACTAAGTAACACATTCACAACTCCTCCATACCATTTGTGAGTCATTAAAATGCATTTTGGCTAGGGAGTTGAGTCTTGAAGCATGATTGAGCTTTCTTGGTAGATTTCATGCATTGATTTTTTTGCATGATTAAAGACCTATTGGGATCATTTATTACTTACATAAGACTTTAACAATGATTAGGGACCTCAATAGGGCCTTTGGGATGGCATTTGAGAGTCAAATTCATACCCAAATAGGGCATTTTTAGGTTTGGGTATTAGTACTAGAAGAACAATATCGAAATTGTTATTGCGAGGAACAAAAAGGAGGGAATTTATTATAGAAGTATTGATACTAGCACAACAATATTAATACCACTCGTCGTTTTTAGCTGGTTTTAACCTTATGGTATCAATACCTCGGGGTGAGTATCGATACCATCAGACATTTTTGGACAAGTAGTCCAAATGAAATAGAAGAAGATTTGAGGGACTCTAGAGCATAATTTTTTATTCAAATAAGATTACAAGTGAGAGACATAGTAAATATACAATTATAGTTAGAAACAATATCAATTAGAGCAACATAAAACTAGACTTGGTTGATGCTCGAGAAAATAGTTAGGACACCCAAATTACTTTAGTGGATGAGAATAGTTTTAAAGTATAGATTGTCTGGATATCCTTAGGTAGGGCGCGAGGCCCTTTGAGACTAGCTATGGCGTGAGGCCCGAACACCTAGGAGGGGTGGGTTAATCGGGTGTTGTATCTGACGTAGAGATTCGAGATCTCACCTAGGTGGACTAGAGGGGTGCGTGAGCTCCGAGATGCAGAAATCCCTCAGCCGCACCATGATGTTTACTCCTAAGTAGCGTGAGGATGCGATCATACTTACTTTATTTAATAACACTTGATAACATGAGCATCGATGAACACTTTTAGTATGATTTTGTTGTTAGTGTGGCACTGGGCTAGTGAGCTCAACGTTCATAATTTTTTCCCGTGCGCATGTCGATAAGAGGAGTATTCAGGAAACATATCGCAGCTGAGGACATTCCATACATCTAGAGTATCAGAGTAATTCTCGAGTCTTCTTTTAAAGGGCATGTATTATTTATAAATCCCTATTGTGTACTCGAGTCGTAACTTTATTTTAAGCTCATGGATGTATTATTTTGAATTATTATTTTGGGGAGCTCCAGATGTAAATCTTATTTTAGTAATATATATTTACTTTTTTTTAAATGGTTTTAAATGTATGATTACAATGGCTTTTAAAGAAATTTTTTTGGGTTAGTCACTCGGTGGCCCTATGTGGCATTCTAATCGGTCGACTTTGTGTCGTATCAGATTTGGATGCCACAACTTGGTTAGTGGGTAAATTTATTTAATTAAAATATTAAAATTAATTAAAAAGAATTCTTCAATCATGTATTGACACGTGTCACTTGGAAATGTATCACAATAATCTATTGACACGTGACACCTCCATATTGGAGGATTAATTTTTTAAGTTAAATTAAAATCAACACTAAATTGATAGAATTTATAAGTATTAAGAACCAAATATATAATTATGTCAATTTTATTAACCGACACATCACTATCTTCGTTAAAAATTAACACTAATGATTTGCTTGGAGCATTTAAATAGTTAGGTGATCTAACTAATTAAATCAAAACATATATGATTAAAATGAAAGCTCACCTTGTAGTTTACCCAAACAAAAATTTAGTGCTACAGTCATATAAATTTAAAATTCAATGATAAAATTGACACATACACTAAAGTTGGTGTCTGAGTAATTACCCTAATTTTAAATCCGTTTTGTATACAGATTTTACATTTTCCAGGGAAGCAGATCTACGACGCAGGAAGACGGCTAATTATTCCACGTGGCAATACTCTATTGGAGAAAACAAGAAGAAGCCTACGCTCATTGGCCAATTTTCTTAAGAACACGTAGCCATAGTTTTAGGCCCCTTCGTGACTGCTGTTGCTTTGTTTAAATATTTTAAACACCAGTTCCCAGTTTCGAAGCACTTAAGCTGAAAAGGAAAAAAAAAACGTTCCATTGAAGAAAATAAAGTACAGAAAAGCAAAACCAAAGCTTAAGAATCCCTTCCCGTATTCTTTCTCTGGAAAGATCATTCTTTATTTTTTGGGAATCGAAGATCTGATAACAGTTTTGTAAACATTTCATTAGTTCCGGAGAGATCCAGTTTCTCTCCTGATCTCAAATCCATGGCGCTTTCAAGAACTAAGCTACTTTTTCTGTTGTTCGCTTTGTCTTACGCAATTGTCTCCATTGCAGGGTATGAGCTAACTTTCTCTTCTTCTTCTTCTGTTTTTGTTAAAGAAATGCGTTTTTATATTCGTGGATTGTGTGATGATTTTGCTGCAGGAAGAGTTATTACGATATATTGCAAGTATCGAAAGGAGCATCGGATGAGCAGATCAAAAGAGCGTATAGAAAGCTGGCATTGAAGTATCATCCTGATAAGAACCCCGGCAATGAAGAGGCCAATAAGCGATTTGCTGAGATTAATAATGGTGATAAAAATTTGGTGCTTTATCATTATTATTTGTATTTTTAAAAATTGGTTGAGTGATGGAATGAATTGTTTCGATAATGATTAGCTTATGAGGTGTTGTCGGATAGCGAAAAGAGGGGCATATATGATAGGTATGGCGAAGAGGGCCTGAAGCAGCATGCTGCCAGCGGAGGTGGAGGAGGAGGGATGGGAGTCAATATTCAGGACATTTTCAGCTCGTAAGATATTTGAATTTTATCATTTGATTGCATTTAATCATCTTAATAGCAGTTGGCTAGTAGTTTAAATGTTATTACAAATGATGAGCCGACATTTAGAAGCCAATCAATGCTTCTTAAGTTTATCTTGGGCATGCTAATGTTTCCAAATTCAGGTTACTTACCATTACTTTATTGTTGATTATGATTAGGTTTTTAAGATGATTTGTGAACTTAACAATAAAATGTTTGTTATTGACTTATATTTTGGATGATGTACGTTAGTGATGATTTAAACATTTAAAAACCGATTACCTTCTTCATACATTCACTAGGTTTAAACGTGATTAGCCATCAATTTTTCGGATTTGTATACTTATTTTAATGTGTTATCCTGATTTCAAACACCTATGATTTCTGACAAGACAGTGATTTCTTCAGGTTTTTTGGTGGAGGCCAGGCAGAAGAGGAAGAGAGAATTGTGAAGGGCGACGATGTAATTGTTGAATTGGATGCAACACTTGAAGATTTGTACATGGGAGGGTCGCTTAAGGTGAGAAATTATGTGCTCTGGTAAAAATTTCTTATCCTTGATACAAATTGATAGCTGATCAGTGTTCAGTCATCTTGACTTGGTGGAACCAAAGATTTTTTCACATACCTTTTACCTTAATTGTCTTAACTGAGCTGTTACTCTGTGTGAATGGTTGTGAGCATATGCGTGTTATGTACTTATATTGCCATCAGCCTTCTTGACCTGATAGCAGGTTTGTGAACAGAATCATTTATTTGAGTACACTTTTGCTTTCTCAGGAAATTAGTAGTTTAATTATATCCATGTAATAATAACTAAACTCGTACACGTAAATACTTCGTCTTTCTCATTTTTTTGTGGACCCTTAACAATAACAAGTCAGATTCTTTATTTCTATCGAACATTTGTGTTTATCACCTATAAGGCATCATAGAGTATGATATGATGCAAAATGAAGCCATGCTATGTTTTGACGTGTCTTTGCTAGGAGCTAGAGGATTAAACTATTCCTTGTCAGATATTTTAAGGAAATGTCAGTAGTGTAAAAGAAAGTTGTTACGCTGTGTTTGGAGCTAGTCGTTTGTACTTGGGAAAATTTTATTCTTCTGACTGTTTTATTTCCTAAAAATCTAGTTGATTGCCCCTTTGTTCCCCCCTGCTTCATCCCTGATCATTCTTCTCAATGTTCTTACTTTATAGAAAAGTAACATTGATCTGGAATTCACCAGGTTTGGAGGGAGAAAAACATCTTAAAGCCGGCTCCCGGTAAACGACGTTGTAATTGCAGAAATGAGGTCTATCATAAGCAAATTGGTCCTGGGATGTTCCAACAGATGACTGAACAGGCACTGTGGCGTTATTGTCTTTCTTTTTATTATTTTATGTTTCACACTAGTAATGTACTTGATCTGTTTACTCTGCCTTTTTACACTGCTTTTCTTTTCTTAGGTTTGTGAGCAGTGTCAAAATGTGAAATATGAACGAGAGGGGTACTTTGTCACAGTTGATATTGAGAAAGGAGTGCAAGATGGACAAGTAAGTTTCTATATTTTTTTAATTTGTAATATTTTCTTGGAGTGCTTGTTGATACTGTTGTCCCTTTTTCTTAATTAATGTTAAAAGAAAATAGCAATGCATGAAATCTCAGGAAAGTGATAGAGGATAAACTTATGTGGCATGAAAAGTTTGTTGAATTGTCATTAAGATTCTGGGTGCTTCTCTTAAAAAAGACAATTATAAGCAATATCAGAAATTCAGAATGATTGATCATGTATCAAGGTTTTGTGACGTGTTTATTGTTCCTTATCAATTCGGTCGTGGGGGGGGGGGGGGGAGTGGGCTGAGGAATGATATTTAGTAAAATCTTAAGAGCATGTCTAAACTTGTAGCACATTGTTTGTGCAGATTCATTCATTTGACAATTTTATTTGTGTTTCTTGTCCAACTACAACTATGGAATTTTGCAATTTTCATTATATTGTAGTTTTATTACAATGCTAGGAGTAGAATAGTTGCATATTCATCTAGCCATTACTGTTTTTGAATTCGGAATAATTTGTTGCTTTGCATCATACAGGAGGTGGTTTTCTATGAAGATGGTGAGCCCATAATAGATGGAGAACCTGGAGATTTGAAGGTTAGACTTAAACTAGTGATGAAAATTTTTCCATTCAATGTAGCTCAATTATTGTGCTAATTGCTGGGCATTGGGCAAGAACGGTAGATTTGTTTCCAGTCCAAATTTGTTTGCTGCCTTAGCAAGCGTAGTAGAATTTTCTCATTCGTGCTCATGTAAGACTCGTGTTTTCTGCAGTTCCGCATTCGTACAGCACCCCATGACCGATTCAGGAGGGAAGGCAATGACTTGCACACCACTATCACTATAACACTTGTAAGACTCAATTTTTAAGCTCCACATGTCTCAATGTTTTGTCGTCCTTTGGAAATGAAGTACTATGAACTAATTTCCGTGTCCCAACATGCTCTAGGCTCAAGCTCTTGTTGGTTTTGAGAAGACCATTAAACACCTTGATGACCATTTAGTAGACATTGGCAATAAGGTAAGCATGACATGTCCCCTGTAGATTTTGATTTGGTTGTTTGAAATTAAAACGTTATCCAAAGTAAGAAGTGATTTTGTATCGCATAGGGTATTACTAAGCCAAAAGAAGTAAGAAAGTTCAAAGGGGAAGGAATGCCATTGCATTTCAGCAACAAGAAAGGAAATCTCTACGTTACCTTTGAGGTTTTGTTTCCCACATCGCTTACCGATGATCAAAAGGCGAAAATCAAGTCCATTCTTGGCTAGGATTAGAAGATAATCATATTTTTGGGGGAAGGGTTGGCTCATAAACTGTTCCTTTTGTAACATTTGATGAGGATACATATAAGCTATGAAATCTGGAGGGTTTCAAAATTCTCTTCATTCCCTTTGTTACCATTGTGCGCCTTCATTAACAAATTAGTTTGCAGTGACTGAAGAATGACCGGAGAGAAAGTCTTTGGTATCGAATACGTTTAAGTTTTTAATTTTAATTTATTTTTATTTGATTAAGTGATATTAATTCATATTCAGAAATTCTGAAAATATCATATGCGAAACTCTTGATAGTTTTTATGATATTTGTGTCCGTTTTTTTATCTCTAGATTTTGTGTCATGTACTTAGGGGTGTTAAAAGCATTTTGTTTGAATAATTCACACGTGTTGATATGTAAATTCACGTGTGAAACATTAACGAATGGCACCAACTATCAACTCCCCCACCGAATAGCCTTTGAGCTTCTTGTCATGGACCCAAGTCCTCTAATGTACATATATTAATATTTCATGTTTATGAATTTCTACAAGATGTATGAATTAATCATACTAAATGTTTTTTTTCAAACTGAAATCGGTTACACCGGTTACACCATCCCGCCCTCCAAACCGTTTAGGATTTGAACCGGTTTTTTTAAAATCCGGTTTTTTGGCTAGGTGAAAAAACCGGATCAGTTTTTATCCGATCCGGATCGGTTTTTTATCCGACTTTGTGCATTTCTACTTGTATATATAATGAGTCTCATTCTTTGTAAATTGATTATGATGAAATAAAGAGAATCAGGAAATCCATAATCTCAACATGGTATCATTCACAAGGTTTGGGCCTTTCGTTTTTTGAGCCTACACTTGTTTTTTCTTTGTTTTGTTGCCTTCTCTATATTCTTTCTGATTCATTTTTTCCCTTTACGTGATTTGGGGATTTCCTTCTTTTCTTCATTTCGTGATTTGGGGATTAAGGTTCTCGCTATGCCTCTGAATGTTGAAATGGATTTCAGTCACCCCTTGTATCTCCATCCTTCATATACATCGGGGGCTTTGTTGGTCTCGCATAAGTTAATAGGATTGGAGAATTACAATATTTGGAGTTTGGAGTCGTTCCCTGAGAATTGCTATCCTCACGAAGAACAAATTGGGCTTTGTCGACGGAGATTGTGTGAAGGATGGCTATGAGTTTTCTTTGCACTCGCAGTGGGAGCGTTGCAATGCTATTGTTGTCTCATGGATTTTGAACTCGGTCAGTAAAGAACTCTCGGCTGGGATCATGTTTGCTTCGAGTGTTGCCTTGGTTTGTCAAGATCTCCGAGAACATTTTGATACAGTTGATGGCTCAAGGGTGTTCTTTATGCACTAGGAGTTATCAACTCTGATGCAGGGGAGCTCACAGTTTCGGTGTAATATCCCAAACTTCAAGTCAGTGACTAAAGTGTAAGAATTAAAAATTTAATAGTTTGATTTTGATAAATTGAAATGTTTAAAGATTGATTTTGGAAATTTTGGTTTATGACATATTAGTAAATATTGAAAGATGGAAGAGCAAAGTGGTCTTTTGGCATGAAATGAAATTAAAATTCATTTTTAAAGATATATAACATGTGAGGAATAGAAGAAAGGAAAAGAAAAGCCTAGATAATTCTCTTTATCTTCTCTTCTTCCACTTTGAACTTCCATTGATAAGGTGAGTGAAATTAAATTGGTTGTTTCTTGTATTTTTGAATTGGTTTTAAGTCATTGGGTGGTCTAGAAGCTTATGAAAGCTTAAAGATGATTAAAAGCTAAGAAATTGATGAGTTAATGGTGATTTAGTAAAACGAGTTTTTAAGGGAATTGACTAAATTTGATTACTATTTGGATTTTAAAGGCATATTTGACTTGTCAAAAGTTCGAATAAGGTATTTTAAGTATTAGAAAGGATTGGAAACATGTTTGAAGAATGAGTATGATTTTTAGTTTTAAGTATTTTATGGATAATTTTGGATGTTAAATGGAATTTAAGTGATGTAAATTATTTATGATAAGTGTTATTGAGTTTAAGGGTTTGAATTAAGTTAGAAGTATGAGATTTAGGTGAGTTTTGGGTAAAATTCGAATTGAAATAAGTGAACTTTGGGCACGAGTATCGGTACTGGAAGAACAATATCGATACTATAAGGTTAAATGGAGGGAAATTGTATAAATCGGATGAACATTATCGATACTGAATGAAGTAGTATCGATACTGATGTGGAGGTATCGATACCAATAGTAAGGTACGGATATTGTAAATGAAGATGAAATTCCAGAATGCAATAAGGGTATCGATACTGAAGTAGGTATCGATACCATATAAGGGAAGTATCGGTACTAGGTATAGAGTACCGATACTATTTAGCCTCAAATTTTAAATTAGACGTTTCATTTCGTTTATGTAAATGCTGATTGGTTAGCAGTTAATTGAGCTTAGGTATTTACCTTGGTCATGTTAATGTGTAGATTTTGATCGAAAGCACGTATCGAACGAATCGACGTAGTAAAGATATGAGGACGACTTGCGATAAGCCAACCTCGAAAGTTTTTGATCGAAAACAATTTTATTTATTTTATGCAATATCTTTATAATGTTTATTATAAATTGTATTTCTGAAGTAATGTTTTGATTTTATTATTATGTGAATATGTTCTATGTGAAAATGTTCTATGTAAATATGTTCTATGTGATTATGGTCTATGTGAATAAATGATACTTTGAATAATGCTATGTGAATACTTATATAGTTAAAGCCCAGAGTATGTGTTATGAGAATTAGAGGTATAGTTGGCATGCCAAGAGTCAAGGGTTCTACGCGGTCCTTCAGGACAAATCTATGTAGCACTTCGGTGCATATTCTTTGTGGCACTTTGGTGCAAATTCTACGCGGCAGTTTCGACTACAATTACAGTGCACAACCTCAAAGTACTCACATATATTGGGTTCTCAGTGATATACGTTGGACTATTTAAATAAATTGATATGAAATGAACAATGCAAAACAATATATGTTATTTATATGAAATGTATCTGGTTTTTCGCATTCGATGTTTATCTTGAAATGTTTAAACATGTGTTTTAATATTTTATTATGTTCATTTATGCCTCATTAAGTTAAAGACTCAACGTGTGAGTGTTTTCACACGTAGGTTCAAAAAAGATAGAAGAATAAAGCTAGGTTGTGACAACATATCTTTGGAGAAGATCAGATCAGATTGATTTGAAGAGTAGGTAATTTTCTTATTTTAAAATTTTGTTGGCATGTATTATAAATGTTTATATCGCAAACGCTCTGATCTGTATTGTAACTATACAAATTAAACTTTATGCAAAAATATTAGATATTTCTTTACATTGTTTGAATAGAAATTTTGATTTTAACTAGTGTTATTGAGGGTTTCGCTACTCGAATAAAGGTAAAAATTTGAATTTTAATCGGATTTTTAAAAAGTCAAATGTGACACTTTAGATTTGTATCTGGGTAAGATACATGTCGGGGTGTTATATTCGGCTTATTCCACTAAGCTTAAACTGCTATGGGATGAGTACGTCGTTTTGGTTCCTTTTTCATCTTGTGTGTGTGAGGAATCGCATCAGATGCTCAAGCACATTGCCCAGCAAAAGTTGTTTCAATTTCTCATGGGACTTCATGAGTCATATTCGGCTATTAGGAGTCAAATCCTAATCCTGAAGCCGCTTCCGAATGTCAATCAAGCTTACTTGATGATAGTCCAAGAGGAGTCGCAGCGATCTCATTTTTCTAGTTCGTCTACACTGGTGCCTTTTGTGGAGTCTGCAGCTTTGTATTCTAATTCTTCTGATCGACGAAAATTCAATGGCACGTGTGATCAATGCAAAAAGAGAGGTCACAAGGAGACATGTTACCGTTTGATCGGTTTCCTATCGGATTTTAAATTTACCAAGCGGAGTAGTAGTCAGGCTTTGACAGTAAACTCGAAAGTCTCCGAGGATCGTGTGTCTTCTCCTGGCCAGCTCGATTCTTCATCAGCTATGCCTGGGTTGACACGGGAGCAATATACTCAGCTTTTGAATCTTCTTAAGATTCCATCAGTCGAGTCAAATATCAATTTTGTAGGTACTATTTCTGGTTGTGTACCTGTTTCTGTTTAGGATGTTATTTGGATCATGAACATGGGGGCGACAGACCATATCTTGTCTAATTTACAGAGTTTGGATGCTCATTCTTCTTGCTCTAACTTACCTAGATCCGTTTCTTTACCTGATGACAAAACTCTTCTTGTAACACACACTGACACTTTTCAATTGAGTGCAGATCAGACTCTAACCAATGTCCTTGTTGTACCTCATTTTCAACATAATTTGCTTTCTATATCAAAACTGACCCGTGACCATAATTGCTCCATAATTTTTTATCCTAATTTTTGTGCTATTCAGGATCTCTCAAGTGGAAGGACGATGGGGCTTGGTAAGGAGCACAAGGGTCTCTATTTTTTGAAGCCTGCCAAGTTAGTTTTTGGTGTGTTTCCTAAACAAAGTAACAATGTCATATCCTCTAAATTGTCTGCTGGTTTAGCTGGGAATAATGAGTCTATTAATTTCTTAAGTCTTTGTGATGCTTCTTTGTGTATGTCTATTGTCACTGATTCGTGTATGTGGCATTCCCCATTGTGACATGCACCTATATAAAAATTGAATAAAATACCTTTCTTGCAACTTGTTAAATTTGATGTGGATTGTTTACAAAAGTGTCATATATGTCATCTAGCGAAACAAATTCGTTTGTCGTTTCCTATTAGTTTGTTCGTTTGTCGTTTCCTATTAGTCAAACTAAATCTCATTCACCCTTTACTTTTCTTCATATGGACCTTTGGGGTGTGTATCGAGTTTCGGCTCACAGTGGGCATCGTTTTTCTTACTTTTGTCGATGATTACAGTCGTATGACCTAGGTGTACTTGCTGAAATTCAAGAGTGAAACTTTGTCTATTGTCAAAAATCTCTTTGCTTTTATTAAGAATCATTTTTCCACGGTTGTGAAATTTGTCCGTAGTGACAATAGGTCAGAGTTCATGGGTTCTGAATGCTCTAATTTCTTTTCTACTCTTGGGGTAACACATCAACGGTCTTGTGTTAAAACTCCACAACAAAGCGGTGTTGTTGAAAGAAAGCATAGGCATGTCTTAGAAGTAGCCCGAGGTCTTCGTTTTCATTCTAAAGTTC